GTGCCCGACCCTGCCCCACGCGTCGCCGCGGAGAACCGCGGCCCAAGAGCTTCGGGCAGCCCCGCCCGCGGGAACACCCGGGGAGCTGCCCCGGCCACAGCCCCGTGCGCGGAGAGGGGTGCAAATCCCAAAATCGCCGCGTGCCGTGCGGGGCACCCGGGCCGTAACCCCGGCTCCTGTACCCCGGCTCTCCCACCTGCCTGCCACCGTTTAGTTTCCCTGGGAAGTGCTTTTTGGGGAGATTCTTCACACAGCTTCACCCTGCCATGCGACTGTGAGGCCTCCGGGATGCTCCTCCGGCTTACACCTTGGTGCCTTTGCAGTGCAAACCGAAACCGGTGCAACAAAAACCTGTGTGCTCCCGCTGGCCGTGCTCCAGGGGCACCTCTGCTTTATGGGGACACCCTGCCCCACAGCCCAGAGCTCATTCTGAGCTTGTTCTTTCGCTGAGACCCAGGAGCAACATCCCGGGGCAGCCCTGAAGAGCAGGATGCTGGCGTCAGGGAAGAGCCGGCGTTAGGGCTCACTGCACCGTGTGTTCCTCTGCTCAGGCACTGAAGTGCTAAGGCTGGGACAACAGGCCCAAGTCAGAGTTGATCTATAGATGAATCCTGTATATTTTATAACTGAAAACCATTGTGCTAGTCGATATTATACGAAGTTAAAACAACCCACTTACATTGATGTACAAAGTGCTAAAGCATTGAAATGCTGAAGCCTGAACAACAGGCTCCAAGCCAAAGCTGCTGACTTAGTATGTAATCATTAACAAAGTATGTAACTCGCTAGTGAAAGAGGCAGCCTAGAATATAATCAGTGGCGAGGAGGAAATGCTGAGAGAATGTATCCGACTTCCCTTGTTTAGCCTTGTTCAAGGCTGAGAACCCAAGTATTTGGCCTTGCTAGAAACTCCCTTAGTCTGGCCAGGCTTTGGGTGGAATCCAACAGGAGAATGAAACCAGTAATTTTCAGTTCAAAACAAAGGTGCCAGTTATTCTGGCTGGTCAATCTCTGGTATATAAGGCCGGGCCCGTTTGCAGCAACTCTGGCAGCCTCACCTATGGGTGGATGCACACGTAGGATTTCCCCCTTGCCGGGACAGGCTCTGCAGCCCCTCGCTGTAACTGGGGCTGCCCAGCCGCTGTGGGGCTGGGTGATGGTAAAGTATGCAAGTGGTGATGGATCTTTCTTAATCACTATCCTCTCTCTCATGTAGTAATGATTTGATGCGTTACCCTGTATTTTCCTATTTGTTGCTTTAGGTGCATTGTTCTGCCTTTTCTTACTGCGTGTTTTACTCTGTTACATTATTTGGTTATCACTAGTAAAATACCCCTACTCTTTTCACTCTGGTGTCCGAGTTTAACTGGTATTCTTAATGAGCAAAACAGACACACAAAGCACTAATTTTCTTGGATATTAAACAGAACACCCATTGTTGCCTGGACCAGTGAGAACTGTACAAACTGCATCCATGTCCCACACACAGGGGTTTCCCAGCACCAGCAAACCCCCGGGTCCGTGGTCCATGTCAGCTCGGAGGGCGACTCATCCCCAGGACACAGGGACCCACCGTGCTGCTGCAGGATGTTGCCAAGGTCCCCACAGCCAGTGCAGCTCCTCTCCTGACAAACCTGTTTCCCAGGCACTGCCCAGCCTGTCAAGTGTCTGGCAGCAACAGTTGTGGTGAGAAACCATCAGGCAAGATATAAACAGAGGAAAAAAGAGAAAGAAGGAAAAAAAAAGGGGGGAAAGAAACAGGTGGGGACTAACTGCAGTGATGCCAGCTGGCGAGTGCTGTGGTGAGAGGAGGAGGTGAACTGCAGAAGTTCAGGCAAATCTCTCCTTCCAGCTCGCCCTCGGAGACACACAGGGCCACGCTGGAAGCACGTTTTCTTGCGGGAAGAGAGGGCTCCTTGCCCTTCCCAGGAAGGTAGTGCAGCAGCAGGGAGCTGCTTCTCTGCGTTCTCATCTGTTCCTTTGGGGCAGGTGAGTGCAGCCAAGGCCATGATGGGGAAACCCAGGGAAATCTTTTCCGCTGACTCAGGTGGGAGGAAAAGGTTTTCCTGCTATTAAAAAGGAAAGTGTTGGTGAACATTCCCACCCTGGCTCAGGATCAGAAAGTCAGGAGCCAGCACTGCAATGCTGGCAAGGGATGGTGCAAGGGGACGGGTGAGCCGGTGGGACCGGCACAGCTGAACCCTACCTGCCTCCGGCGCACAGTTGGCAAGGGGTGAATCTATTCGTTCCCAGTGCCCAGCGCCAACGCCAGCACCCAAGTACAGGCATGCCTGAGGTCAGGGAACAGCCTCGGTTGGCTTAAAACCTTTCCAATCCCACAAC